TGGGGCTGGTCTGAGGACGACCCTGTCATTGTAGAAGGTACATAAATCTGTGTGTACCCACAAAGCTCTCAGCTCCAAAAACCTACGCACTGAAAAGATCCCCACTAAGAAATTGTTTACAGAGCAATGTCTTTCATGGGACATGATGCCATTGCTTCAAATGGCTCCTTGCATAGTGCTCATAGTACTGCATTTAAATTTCATGCGGAGAACCTATGTACCTGTGGTGGATTGCATCCTCTCTGCCCACTGCATCTCTTGCATCACTTCCTGGTGTAGCCGTTAGGATTGCGTGTCTCCCTACCTGTTAATATAGACTTTCGCCATCATGTTATCCATTTGAATCAGAACATGACGCTAGGCCACGGTAGTAGGTCTTGACATGACACCATCATGCCCAGAAGACATGCTAGGGTCATCACCTTCGGTGTCTAAATGTCTCCCTACCTGATGTAAGATAAGTGAGAAATTTTACTAACCTCTCCTGGAACAGAAGAACCCTGTCCTGTCTTGTGTCTATCTGCCCTCCCAAGTGTGTAATTACTTGAGTCGGCTCCAGGGTCCTCTTCTCCCTGTTAATAGCACAACTGTGTCCCTGTAGTACTTGGATTGTAAGGTCCAAATGTAGGCTCGCCTGGTGACTGGACTCTGCCTGGATCAAAATGTCTTCCAAGTAAGGAAAACAGGACCACTCCTCTCAGACTTAGGAAGGCCACTAGTGTCCCCAGGACCTTGGAGAAGATCCGAGGCGAGGACTTGAGTCCAGAGGAAATGTTTGCTGTGATATTGGAAATGTTTGCTGTGATATGCAAACCTTGGAAATTTCCTGTGATTATCCCTTGTCAGGATGTGCAGATAGACTTCCTCCAGGTCTATGGAGACCATGAAGTCCCCTGCATGTATGGAGGAAAAAGATGGACCTCAACATCTCCATCTTGAACTTTCGTGATTGCACATGTTTGTTGAGCCACTTCAAGTCCGAGATGGCCCTAGTGTTCCCATTCTTCTTGGGGAACGTAAAGGGATGGAATAAATTCCTAGCAACCTCTCTGTCTCGGGCACCATCTCTATCACGCCAATGTCCAACAAATGTTAGATGGCCTGTAACATCATCTTGTGATTTTTCCTGGTGATTTCCCTTGGGATCTCCAAGAAACGTTGCTTGGAACTCTTTCAAACTCTAGTGCGTAGCCATGGGCCACCATCTCCAGGAACCACTTGTCCGACACAGTCTGGTGCCACTGCCCAGAGAAAGCTGTACTCTTGCGTCTATATCTTCCATTGTCTTGGCCTAGTTATGCCAAAGTTCCCTTCTTAGATCCTTTAACACCTTGTCCAGATTTTCCTGTGAGGGCGAATGATCTATTGTCTCTAGACTTTTTATGCCGTTTTACTTTTGTTGTTTATCATCATGACTGAGGTCTCAAAAGGACTGTGGTCTCCTTCTAGATTTCATATCCTTCTTCTTTGATGGTAGCACTTGTGACTTGCCTTTGTCTTTCACCAAGTAACGTTCCAGGCCTGCTCTGACAAGTTTAACTCCCTTGAGAGATACCACTGCCACCTTTGCCCTTGTTGCTGGATCTGTATTCCAGTGCCTCAGCCCCGTATTTCTCCTGGCAGTCACACTACAAGCCATAGCCCTCGCTGTGAGTTGTATGGCATCCAAAGAGGCTTCTGCCACAAATGCTGTGCATAGAGCTATCTGTTTTAGCTCATCCTTAAGGCTCTTTGGTATGTCACTGTCTACAGAAGTTAGCTCTGAGGCCCATGGGAAGGCTGCTCGAACAAACAGGGATCCCGTAGCTGATGTTCTAAGGGAGATGGCAGGCACCTCACTCTACGCAGTGCCTTTTCAACTCCCTTGTCTTTTTTGGGAGTCCATCAGCGTCCATGAGAAATAGAGAAGTAGACGCTGATAAGTTAATCGAATCATCCACCATAGGAAGTTTGAAACTTCTTTGTGGCTCCTGAAATAAGAGAGCAGAGTTTGTTAAACACTGGGTTTCCCAGACTTTGGATTGGCTGGGTGTT